TTTTAATAAGAAGAGATCCCACTTGTTGATTGTTTGTGCTAGTTCAAGGGCAACTGAGGTTTTGTTCACAAAATCTTTTCCTACGCCAATGTCTTCAAGAATTCTATCTAAACTGTTCCAGCCAGTTCAGCGTTTGTGTTTTAATATTTAGATCGTTAATCCATTTTGATTTTAGTTTAGTGCATGGTGAGAGATATAGGTCTAGTTAAATCTTTGGCAAGTTGAAAATCAATTTTTCCAGCACCATTTATTAAAGAGGCTATCTTTCCTCCAGTGAGGGTGTTTGGCTCCTTTGTCAAAGATAAGGTGGATAAGCGTGTCTGGAGTTGCTGCTGGATCTTCTAATATGTTCCACTGGTTCTTAGTTCTGTTTCTTTGCCAGTACCCTGCTGTTTCTGTGACAGTCACTTTGTAGTATGGTTTCAAGTTGGGGATTGTGATACCCCCTGCCATGTCTCTCTTGCCTAACTTTTGCTATTCTAGGTCTCTTCTTCTTCCAAATAAATTTTTGGATTGTTTTCTCAAGGTCCGTGAAATATGCTGCTGGAATTTCAATTGGGATTACATTGAATCTATATAGGAGTTTTGGAACTATGGCGATTTTCACTATGTTGATTTTTCCTACCCAGGAGCAAGGGATGTCTTTCCATTTTCTGATATCATCTTCAATCTCTCTTTTCAGAGGACTATAGTTTTAAGAGAAGAGGTCTTTGATTTCTTTTGTTAGATTGATTCCTAGGTATTTCAGTTTTTTGGATGCTATTGTGAAAGGAATTATTTGTCATATTTCTCTCTCAGTGAGTCTGTTGTTCGTGTAGAGGAAAGCTATTAATTTTTGTGTATTGACCTTGTATCCAGCTACTTTACTGAATTTGGTTAAGTCTAGAAGACTTTTGGTGGGATTCTTGGGGTCTTCTATATAGAGTACCATGTCATCTGCAAATAGTGACAATTTGACTTCTTCATTTCCTATCTTCATTCGTTTTATTTCTTTCTCTTGTCTAATTGCCGTGGCTAATGTTTCCAAAACTGTATTGAACAGGAGTGGTGACAGTAGACATTATTGTATTGTTCCTGAAAATCAGGAACAAGGATTTCAGGATTTCAATTTTTGACCATTTAGTGTGATATTGGATGTTGGTTTTTCATAGATGGCTTTTATCAGATTGAGGTAGAGTTCATCTATTCCAATTTTTTGTGGGGTTTTTAACATAAATCCGTGTTGGATTTTGTCAAATGCTTTTTCTGCATCTATTGAAATGATCATATGACTTTTGTCCTTGGTTCCATTAATATAGTGTATTACATTGATTGATTTGCATATGTTGAACCACGGCTGCATCCCTGGGATAAATCCCACTTGGTCAGGGTGTATGATCTTCTTGATGATCTTCTGCATTCTATTTGCCAGTGTCTTATTAAGGATTTTTGCATCTATGTTCATTAGTGAGATTGGCCTATAGTTCTCTTTTTCTGTTGGGTCTTTCTCTGCTTTGGGGATCAAGATG